GTACCCAGAACAGCCGTAATATCACTATTGCTCGCACCAGACTCCATAGACAAAAAACATTTTACAATGCATATCATCGTAATAATGTAACTTCATTCAAAGTGGACAGAAACAAAATAAAACTCACTCTGGTTTGGTGGAAATAAATCCTTAAATGACTGACATACATGAGTATCTGGTCAGATTTGTGGTGATCATATAATTAAACAGACATATGAAATAAACCGACTCCTTCCTGTTGAAGCTGATGAAATCTGCTCAGACATAAACTTGCTGCAGCAGCCGAGTTTTCTGAACTCTCAGCAGCTTATTAGACGAGCTTCAGGTCGCCCAGACAGCCTGTCTTGTGTTGTCTCAGATTATGGGGCTTGTAAACACAGTCAATAGCTGCAGCTAAATCCCAGCAGGGGTGGACTGTGAGCTGAATCACAGCGCTCCGCCTCCAAAACGGTTCAGCACCCGCCCAGCTGTGAGCGCGGATGTAAATATGTAAAGAGCAGAAGAGGGTGTCTGCTTATCTGCAAACTAATTACACATGTGTGCATACGAGAGACTGTATATATCCTCTCTCTCTGCAAACATATCAGATATTCAGTTCGTGTTTAATTTGATTTGAAGTTTTATTTTCATGAAACAATTAGGAAAAGGTTTCTCAAGCAAATCAACTCATTTGAAAAATGTATTCTATTTAGGGGGATTGTTGTGCAGATTATTGACTTTTTCTTTAAAATGATACACAGTAGGCCGATATCTCAGCCTTTGGTTCGCTTCTGTGAACAAAACTAAATGTAAATGGCTTAATAGAACAATGGCCGAGCATCAGAGAGAAGTAAACAGTCTGTATGTGTTACAGTCACTTTAATCTGTTTTATTGTGAAGTTATCATTTTGTGTGCGTTTCCTGTTTTATTCTGTACTTACCTCTCCCTTTTGTTTCAGATCCCTTTACTTCCTGTTAGTAACAGTTTGCCTGTGTCTGATTAACCACTCACCCGTTGAGTATAAAGTCACTGTTTCCTCCCTTCAGTTCGTCTTTGTCTTTCTTGTCAAGCGTTCCAGCACTCCCTCTTGTTTCAGATGTCCTTTTTGTTTTCTGCCTTTTGCCCATTTGGTCTTGTTTGCTTGATCGTTGGATTATCTGTGTACCAGACTTTTGAAAGTAAAATTAACTGTTTATTCAACTGAACCCTTGACTCCAGGTTTCTGGTACAGTAACAGAATGATTGTTAAAATTATAAAAAATAATACAGACAGAGAATTGTATAAAAGAGTTCACAGTTGGGCCGATTGTACAGTTTCTGAAATAATATAAAGTATAAAAAAGCGGTTGTGAGTTTACTAAATGATAGGAAAGGTGTTGTTACACCCATCCTGTATTTAAGACCTTGTGGACTCTCTTTACCCGCCCTCTGTCAAAAAACAAAAACTAAACATCAGCCTCAGTTGTGCTACCTGTCACTCATAATTCATAAACTCTTTTAAGATTCTTTATATCTGGTGTTCAGGAGCAGTAACGTCCACCCGGTACAGTTGAACAAAGGGCCGAAGAGTGCGAGCGTCCAGATGTGCCGAGCGGCTGCTGACGGCGGCCTTCTTGTGTTGTGGATCTCACGCTGGCGCTGCAGATGCCTTTTGTTGTCGCCTTTTAGCTCGGCACACCGGGAGCCTGACACTTAACAATCTGGAGCTCATAATGCGCAGCGAGGAGCAGCACTCGTCTCCCAGCATGCTCTCTGTGTTCTTTCCTCCCGCTCCGGTCCGCGCCCTGGAGGGACGGGATAACGATTCATAGAAAGAGTCGTGTCGAGGTTCTGTGTTTTTATCAGCACTCGTCTTCAGAACTGAACTCGGGCTGCAGTTAGTGTGTCGGCGAGGTTTCTCCTCGCTTGGTTGCACGTTTCTTTCAGACTTGTAAAGGCGTCAAGGAAGTTTTTTTCAAGTTTGATGGCAGGAAGAAGAGAAAAAACATGTCCAGAGTTTCAGCTGAATTGCTGAATAAGTCAGAAATTTTGATTATGGTTTGCTGTATTGTGTGGCATGATGGAAACGATCCCTTTGGTGTCTCCACATTGTACAGTTTTTTTTCTCCGGGTATGAAATGGCACATTTCATGCTGCCAGGCTTTGTAACGGCACAGATGTGCTGAGGTTTGAGTCGCTCTAACGCACCCTGGCAGAGAAAAAAAAAAAACAAGTGAGAAGAAAAGTGTCCTGCCTCTGAAAAGTTGATGACATGTTCGGCTCGCTTGTCTGGAAGAGTGGCAGCTACGCATTCGAAGCTGTCAGGTTGTTCTTTGACAGCGAGTCAAGACTCTGGCAGAGGCCCGGTTTGATTTCCTGAGAGTTTAGATCACATCCCGTCAACTCGCCACTTATAGGCGTCATCTCCTGTTTGGTTGCAGTCAGATAAAACCAGAGGAAGAAAATACAAAAGAACGCAACAACAACAGCTCCTTCTGGTCCAAAAGTATAGTAATATAACATCTATATCATCTGTGTCACTATTAAAGGAAATATAATGTGAACATACACGAGTATGCAGCCTTTTACATCATCTTCCTCTGTTCCATAGAGCTCCATTGGTGTCCAACAACTATTAAAAGCACATCCATGTATTAATACACAGTCCCTCTGCCCCAAATAGTCACTAGAGCTCCAAATGTGGATTCATCCACCGCCGAAAAGTGCTCTTTCAAAATAAAATACTGGAGCCAAACCGCGTTGCAGATGTGACGTCATAAAGCTGTGCCCGGTGGAATTTCAGGGTTTGAGGCGTCTTTCCTTCTTTCCCTCCAGTTCTAAGCCACCTGTATGAACTGGGCTTCATACTCACTGTAAATGTAAAGACATGAAGGTGGAGCAAATAAACACATTTCATAAAACAGGTGGATGGGTCACACCTGCAGTATTCAGTACAGTGTAATATCACAATCTATCGTACTGTAAATGACCATGATATAAAGGCCATAATGCACTTCCAGGTGTGCTGATATAGACAATAATGGACTCTCAGCACAAGGGGATTATTATTTTTGTTGTATATTAACTGATGTCTTTACTTATTGCTTAAATCCTGAGGACTCTTTTATTCTTCTTAATGGTTCAGCAGTGTTTTAGTTGAGGTGTTTATTTAGATATAAAAGAGCTCAGTATGCTGAGATCTTCTGTGGTAAACCCGCCGTTACATACGGAGAAGTAAAAGCTGTCTGCAGAGCCTCCTCACTTCTGACATTAATTCACTTCCCTACAGAAAGCCGTTTAATGGACTCTTATAGACCCCGAAAACTGAGCGCAGTCACGTCCGCGGCAGACATTAATCCATAAACTCGTACAGTATGTAATTTTACGCTTCAGAGTCATTTCATGTCGCGGTGACTTTAATGGTTCTAACAGATAAACAGAAGTGAGCGCTGCTTTTCTCACAGCTTACGGAGGTTTGAGCTGAAGCCATTTGTGCATCCGAATTTAAATCCCAGACGTTCAAAAGAGACGTAAAGAGAGATAAGACTGGAGGGATGATTAGGGATTTTCCCTTTTGGTAATTAAACGATGTCATTACTCTTAGGATCAGATTAAGCCGAGGACTTTTCACACCACTTCTGGGAATCTTCTGCATCCGGCTGCTGACAAACTCAGAGCGCCGACACAAACAGAAATCGATTGCTGCTTAAATCAACTCTGGGTGTAAATGTGTCTCGTGAAGAATATGCTGAGCTGTTCAAACTTTTCTTGTTTCAATCTGCAGCTAAAAGTTGGTTTCAGACACGGAGACGCAGACACAAGTTTTCTCCTGACACTGTCGATTAAAGCTGCACAGTGTGAAAGGAAACAGTGAGAGACAGAGAAAGGAAAGAAAAAGGTCGGAAGTGAAGCCGATATATCCTGATTTAGTCCCCAGAATGGGTCCAGCTCCAATAACACTGGATCCTACATTTCCCATAATGCAAATCTTTGTGAGAGCCTCCCTGCCTGTTTACAGGCTGATTAGAACTCAAGTATTTGAAGACCCCTGACTCAAGATATTTAGTCCAAGGGCCAAAATGTTTCTAAGCAGACACTGTGGGGGCCAGACTATCAAATACAAATAAATTGAATGAATTAAGGCCCTAATTAGCCTGTTATTGTTATTAATATTTTCAGTTTCTTACAAATGAATGTTATATTTATTAGCTTTTATCAGTGTGAACAGACTCAGAAACTACAGCTCACTGAGAACTGATGGTTCTATGGTTATAATAACTAAAACTAAAATAAAAACTAAAACTAGATATGAAAAAAACAATTCAGTTATCGGACCAAATATAAAAACTAGCTAAAGCCCGTTATGGAGCCTGCTGTAAGTGCAAGGCTGTAGCCTACTGCTAATTATAGACCAGAGAACCAAATTCTGGGAAGTTAAGTCAACTTTCTTAGATTTGAAGATGTGCCAATCGGCTTGGAGACAGGAAGTTGGACAGTACTGGGATACAGAAAACATAAATAACACCAGATGGATTTGGTGATTTATTCATTCATCTTACTGCTGATTTGTCCTAACTGGATTTAAATGTTTCTCTTTTTAACCAATAGTAATAGTCCTGACGGCTGAATTCACGACAGCTCACTTCCTGTCTCTGCTGCCAACACACTCTCCCATTCAGGGTGAGATGACAGCTGGATTTTTACATAAAAACCTGGATGGGTGCAGCTCTAACAGACTGTCAAAGCTCAAAAAATAAAAGAGTCTGAGCTTCTCTGGGCCTCGCTGTGAACGCAGGTTTCGGCCAAACAGCTGCCAGGCCGGCGCGCCTCGGCGTCCGAGGCCAGCTTTTCCATTAGCACTGGTTGTTAGTGAGGCGTAACCGGCGGTGACGGCTGCTGTTGGCATCACCACGCGTCCACTCGCTGTTTCCCGCACACACACACGAAAACAGGAAATGCAACAGGGAGTAATGTGGAACAGATCTGAGTAGTGTGCAGCCAGCTACCTCTCTGTGCCAACCACAGCGGCCCACAAATGGAAGACAAATTAAGACGGACAATATAGGAGCATAAAAAAACACATGATAAGGTTTGAGGAACATAAGATCCTCTTGTATAGATAGTGAAAATGAAAAGTTACATCAGTCCACCAATCTATCTGTTCATCTGTCTTTAGGATACTAATTAGAGCTGGACCGTGACGAGCCAGGCCCTGAGGATCGATACCAGCCCCATCACCCTGCAGAGGGGCTAGCAAGGGCCGGGGGAGGGAGGGTGAGTGAGTGAGAGGTGAGTGAGAGAGTGTGTCTGCCTTCATTTATTGAATTTCCACTTGCTTTACAACACGGCGCTAAGCAGAGGCACATACAGCCTGCGGATGCTAACGGCTAACCAGCAACACACGCTCTCTCACTAGTGATGCAACTCTTTCATAATCTTCAGTAAACACACCTTTACTAAAGCTCCAGTGTGTAGGATTTAGTGGTGTCTAGTACGGTGGCCGACAAGGGCAAACGCGCCGCAAACGGCAAAACGCTGCAAACACAGGAACGATGCAAAACCAAAAACACACAAACACATAAAACAAATGCGTAGTCTAGCGATGTAGTTGCAGATCGGAACTCCCTCGCTTCACCCTCCGCTTCCTAGTGTGAAGAACAGACTACGGTGGCCATGAAACGCTACTGTAGAAACGGTGATTCAACATGGCGGACTCCGCCAGAAGAAGACCCACTCCCTCTGTGGATAAAAACGTCTCATTCTAAAGGGAACAAAACAAAACTTATTTTCAGGTGATTATACACTAATGAAAACATACCTATGAATATTATATTACATTTCTGACAATCGATCCTTCTAAATGTTACACACTGGACCTTTAAAGCTGCAGTAGGTCATTTTTATAAAAAATCTTTTGTTTCCAGGCCTCCGTGAAATAGAAGGCCCGCTCGGGCCCTAATGATGAAGACAATATTGCAATAAAGTATTTTTAAAACACAATAACTACATAGAACTAGCCAATCTCATCACTAGGTCTTTTTTGCTTAAGTAGATCATACAGAGGCGTCAGTGTTAGTGAGATTATGTAGTTTCAGATTCAGATTTAGCTTATTAGCTAAGTACATTCAAGTGTAAACTACGTATTGTCCATTGTTCCTGGTAATAAAAATAATACAAAAAAGCTTTTTATACAATGCCAAGTCTGTATCATGTATTTTTCATGTTTTGTTTATTTAGGTCATATAAAGGCATCAGTATTGAACTGAGACTGTTTATAACCAGTTAACAGTCCTTGCAGTACGTTTAAATCAGCTAATTTGAGGATTATTTCTTGGAAATTCTTGAGTTCTAGGAAGAAAAAACATCAATGGCGGTTTCATCCTAAAGAAAGCTTATTATAAGACCAGAAGTCTGCAGGTTTCCTGGCGAAGAGCACGGCGCCTTCGCAGCCCGGTGGGCCGATCGATGGCGGTGGCAGCGGCGAAGCAGGCCAACCAATCGGCTGCCTGATCTGCAGGCTGCTCTCAGCACCTTTATGCACTCGGGCTCAGCCACTGACAGCCGCCTCCATCACCGCTGATGTGAGGTTGTAAAAAAAAATCGAGCCGGGCATGCTCGTGGCTCTGATGCTTTGATTACCCCGAGGCCTGCAGCTGCCGCTCTGTCCAATTAGCGTTATGGATGAGCTTCGGCTCATCAGCGCGGCCGCCTCCCCTCTCATCGTGTATGTTGGCCCCAGAGCAGGGGAGAAGGAGGCAGCCATCAGACCCCGGGGACCTCACCGGATAACTCAGCCAGGGAAAGTGAATCTTCTTGGTCAGCTGTTTTTTTTCCAGGAAGTGACACCGTTTGAACCCGACTGTACACGTGTTGTTTTTAGGAAGACGCAGCGGCAGACAGACAACAGAAACACCCATCAACAGGCAGCTTCAGTCTATTTTATGACAGTTAATCCATTTATTACTTTCATGACAGCTTTTAGAATTTGCTTGGACACATTTTGTCCCTTCAGTTTTCATTTCAGAGCATTTTCAAAATGCTCTCAAAACATGAAAAACATCCAACAAAAGCAAATATGTGCATCAAATTTCAATTTTTCAGTTTTTCTTGGTTGTTAAGACACGCTTAATGAAACTGGGATCAGCACTTACTTAGCACAGCCGAAGTCTTGTTGTACAAATGTGTTCACTAGTTTCACCCTTTTTCAAAGGCAGATGTCATAAAAATACACAGCTAACGCCCAAATACCCCTGCACGCAGCCGGTGGTATTTTGGGGTAATGCAGTGGTTTCCAGCCTTTTTCCTTAAGGGACCCCTCTTTTCACTGAGTTAACTGCGACCCCGACAAAGTGACATAATCTGTGTAAAATGAGTAATTTGGATGAATTCTGAGCAGATATTTCCTGTGAATATTGCACCAGAGATCCTGATATTTTAGGAACTTTTTATACAATGCTGTCTGTCTAATTTATCTCTCATTTCAAATCAAAGAGTTAAGTCTCTGAAGACCTGATCACAAGCTTATTATTATTATTATTATTGACAGAGTTTAGATCAAACAATAATCTTTTCTGTTTTTTGTTTAGTTGTGTTCACAGATATGAAGGAAATGCTGAGGTAGAGGCTTAAAGTGAATACTTTTTATGTTTTCTTACACCCATTAAAATCAAGAGGAGTATTTCCGACTTTGGGTGAAACATTTTTATTGGCTCTTTGGTGAAGAAGGAATTGTACCATTGAGCAGCTTTTGTACTGAATTTTGAATGAATGTTCTATTTTGTCTGGTCTAGGTGCTTACTGTATCTCTCACATGTCAACGACAGTTCACGGGCACAGAAAGACCTGCACACAAGAACAAAACGAAAATGTCTCATCTCTCTCAATATTTCAACAATGCATCTTACTCAGTGCAGCAGGGTTTGTTATCCACAGTAAAAGCATCTTTAGAGAACTCAATACACTTAATGCTGTGATAATAATAATGCTGGCTTACATAGTTACAGTTCGGGTTGGGCACCAAACTCTGTTAAGGGTACAGACCGAATTACATCAGTACTAGTTCTGATTCACTTTAAATCAGCAGGTGCCATGTGGGTGAGAGAGGAAGAGAGAGAGAGCCTGCAGTTGGTTGAAGTCACAGTGAGTCAGTACATGCAAACAAACTATATGTTCACAAAACATATGTAAAAGATGAAGAGTGTAACTTGAAATCCTGAAATCTAATTAAGTCCCCACCGCAGCAGCTAACGTTAGCACGCCTGCAGCTAGCACCAAAGTTGAATCCGACGAGACTTTCAGTCAGTCAGACATCTTCAGGTAATTAATTAGCTGGTTGGAGAAGTTGTTGCTGGAGATAAAAAGGTTTGTCACTGCATTTGGTTGACGGACAGATCAAAGTCTGAGTGAGTTACTATGGTTACGGGGATGCTATTAGGTTAATATGCTTATTGTCATGAACCACCAAAACAAGCGATACCACACAGATAATAATTTATTATATTAATTATATGAATTTATTGAACCAATAACTAACTATTCAGTATAACAGATATGTACATGAGTGTTGTCAGTATGTACTGAGTGTGTGCGTAGGAAAAAAAGTAATGTGAACAAATCTAAATAAACCCAAAACACAAACAAACCCAGAACCTGTTGGTTGGGAGGAGAGAGACAAATCAACAGGTTCAACTCTTTATACAGCCGAGCAATCAGGGAGCAGCTCATCCTCCTGCAGACTCCTGCCCACACCACACACACACACACACACACACACACACACACACACACACACACACACACACACAGAACATCCAGAGTGGGAGGGGTCATCACACTATTCAACATCATGAATGTAACTGAAGATCCCCTGGTTCAGTTTGCTCTCCAGATTTAGGCTCTGAGGTCTGGAGGTCTGCGAGAGTGCTGATCAACTGATTATTAATGATTATTAATGATTATTATGTAGCATTCTGTGAGAAGAAAACTTTAGTATGAAACCAACAGTAGGTTTACAGGGAAGTATCACAGTGTACAAGCACTGAGGGGAGTTATACTTTCTCTGTAATAACTAAAATATAATTTAAGTTGTAAAAAATTAAGACCAAAGTACCAGAAAAAGTTAAAAATTCCAATTTTAAAGGACCAATGTGTAGAATGTGATAGGAAGTTAAACTAACTTTTTAAAAAAGTCAACAAAAAAAAAAACCAAAACATTCTCGATCAAGTAGTTTTAGTCATTTTAAGTGACACTGAATGTGTGAAATGTATCTTCTTTTACAGCAGCTCCATTTGCACAGAAAATATATAAAGAAGAAACAAGGCACACGTTTAACAGACAAAAAACAACATTCATTTTTCGTACAGACAAATAAAGCTTCCATATGAACAAAACTGCACTGAAAAAAAATATACATTTTTACAAACCTACTATAAATCTGTTCAGAAACAACAGGAGAGGGAAATATGCACAATGAACAGGCGCTTTCAGGTAAAAATAATGACTGTGGGTGTTTTCTGAATGTAACAGCAGGTTAATGGAGGCGCAAACAGAGAACTGCATTAATTCTCCAGTTTGTCACAGCATTATTATCAGTCTGCAGACTGCAGCTGTATGTTTCTACGGAAAGCTCGTCAGCGCTGCATCTCCCCCGGGATCAACGCTACTGAGCACATTTAACAGCCAGCTACTTTACACTGATTGTACTCCGCAGGAAGACATACATTTCAAAGTGAGATGAAAAAAAACAAGTGCGCTGCGACGCCAACCGGTGTCACCGACATTAGCCCAGTTAGTGTATGACAGCAGGGGTGACACGTCCTCCAGCATTTCTTCCTTCTATCTGCAGGAATAATCCTCGGTCCGATCCACCTGTCACACAAATGAACCCCCCCATGTTTTATTTATGAGTGTTTCATGAATAGACGTCCTCTGTGTTTCTGACACCAATAAATCGCAGGGTATTCTGGGAGGCTCAGCGTTGCTGTCGTTAGAGCCGGAGTTTCAGGGTTGGGTTCAGAGGAGGAGGTCAACCCCACTGTGTCGCTGTAGAGGGGAAACAGAAGCGACGTGAGGCAATAAATAGGTGTGGAAAGCGAGAATATGTGAGGAAAAAGCTTCTGTTTTTGCTCTTTTGTCACCCTGACAGGTGTGACAGAGAAGAAATAGTCCTCGCCAGGAATGTGCGAAGTAAGCAGCATCTCTCCGGAGCGCCGCGTGAACACGAGGATTAGAAAAACGAAAGAAAGGGCAAAAAAAACAAGCTCATAGGTAGGAGGCGTGAACACGAAAACAACCCTCCGTGGTTACTGTATGTCCTGTCCATTAATGAAGTGTAATTTCTGTCGCATATAGCTTATATATCAGCCACACTGCAGAAAATGTCTTTTAACCAGTTATTCCCTTGTATATATTGTTTTCTAGAACAACGGTTTCTAAACTGGGGTCTGGGGACCAACAGGGGCCCTTGAGTGGGTTGTAGGGGGTCCACAGCGAAAGGAGAAATAGAACAATTTTACTTTTATCGGAAGTTTGGACAACAAGAGAAGAATTAGGGGGGCAAATTGGGGGTCCATGGCTTAATGTGGATCTATTGTGGGGGTCCTTGACTTGAAAACGTTTGGGAACCTCTGAAGCAACCAAGCTAAACAACAGAGATTTGAGATACCGGTATTATTCTTTATTATAAGATACTGACTCAAGCTTAGAAAACCATGGAAACTCTCTATGTATACAGTATTTTAAAGGAATTTATACAGAATAAAGTTGTTTTTATATTACAGACTGTAAATTGCACTGAAAACTACCATCATAGCATTAGTATGGTATTTTCTTATGCAAGGCTGTTTATTTTGATGGCAGAAACATGTATTTATATGGTAAAATAAGGATTAAAACTCATCAGTACTAATATCCTTTAACCAAAATAGTAGAAAAGTTCTACTGTATTTATTACGGGAAAGTTCTGGCAACCACAGCTGACAGTTTTTTACAGTGTAGGAGTTTCCCCCTGCTTCCAGTCTTTGCGTTATGCTATGCTAACCCATTGACCTGAAAACAATGTTGATCTTTTCATCAAACTTGTCGGCCAACAAGAGAATTTCCCCAAACTGTCCCTTTAAATGACATATGGACAGCCTCACATCCATCATAAGAGCCAATTCTTTTGGGGTAACCCCGGCAGAACAAAATATGAATAATTCAAATCCTCAGTAGTAAATAACTGTCCTAGCAGCAGAATACTGTTGTAGGATAAAGTGTAATTATAGGAACTGCCAAGGTGTGTCTGAGGCATATGGCTGTGCTTCTCGCTGGGTGACTGTTGTTTTTCCGCTGGGTTTCAGGGAAGAAGGACGCCCGTCTTTGTTCTGGGATTTGTGACAACAATATGTGATTACTGCTGTTTTATTTATGGCCGCCTGTTTTTCTTATTTTCCAGCTTCCTCGTTTCTCTCCCCCACAGAGGATTTCGGCTGCTGCCAAAGGCTCTGTCCTGGTCATTCATCATTTAAAAGGTGCCAGTCAATAAATTATATGAGTGAATGATTCATTCAGGCACTAAGTGCAAGCAAATACTGTGTAAGCTGCTGTCCATGTTCATGTTGAAAAGAGGAGCTTCCTCTTTAATTCATCAGCCCGTTTCTCACCGAAAACTCTAAGGATGTCTCTGGATACTCCTCGTACACTGTTAAAAAAAGAAGAAGCTGCAGAATCAGAGATCAAATTTACTGATTTTAAACTCTTTAACACAAGATTTAAGCATCAATGATATTCTTTATTTAGACTACCAATTAAAAGTTGGTTTCACTGGTGGACGGTAACTAAGTAGCTGTAGTAAAATATATCTGTTATATCTACTATTGTACTTTGGAAATCTGATTGGCCACCCCAAATGCTGCAACATTGTCCTTACCTCTTCCACTCCATCTTTCAGCTAAAGTGAAGATATGAAACTAGATGAGCTAATGCATGAATTGGTACCAACCATGGCGTTGGGAAGGAGGATAAATAACACTTTTTTGCCGATGGAAAACTGGCATGGCCATTTTCAACCTCAAGATGTCTGGATGAAAATAGGTTCCATGGGCACCATAAGGAAATCTACAATATTTGAAAAAGTAAGTTAACAGGTTAAATATGGTGGGTTTTAGTGGGTTTGATGTTAATTTTGATGTATGTTGATCTTTTAGTACAAGTTTTTTCTTGTCTGCTTCTTCTGACTCCATGTTCCATTAATGCATGTTACTAACTTCACTTCTTCCCCGGAGTTCTTGTGCTTTCTCGTCTCGCAGGTTCCTATCGATCCTGGTGGAGCCTCCTGCCATGGTCCTGCTACATTGCCATTGCCAATAGTGTTGTTGCTGTGCACCTGTCTGTTTATCTCTCGCTCTCTCTCTCTCTGCCTCTCTCTCTCTCTCTCTCTCACCCCAACTGGTCGAGACAGACGACCACCCATCTAGAGCCGAAGGATCTGTCCTAGGTTTCTGCCTTTTAACAGGCAGTGTTTCCTTGCCCTTGTCGCCAAGTGCTTGCTCATGGTGGTACTGTTGGGTCTCTGTAATTAATGTTATAAAGAGTTCGGTCTAGACCTGCTCTATTTGAAAAGTGTCCTGAGATAACTTCTGTTATGAATTGGCACTATACAAATAAAATTGAATTGAATTGAATTGAATTGACTCTTAAATGTGAACTTAAATGCAAATGTCATTCGCTTAATGTCACCCTAACTTTACTTGTATGTCAAGCATGTTGTGTTCTTATCCTCTCATGGAAGAAACAGAAATAAACCGACTGACGTTGAGTGTTTTTGCTTTTAAGAAAACCAGATTTTGGGTATCCCAGTTTCAAACTAATGTGTTTTTCGAACCTGCAGCGTTTCATGAAAGCAGTTAAAAATACCAGCAAGAACATGAAAAACACACTCAGCAGACATGGAAGAGCTGCTTTTGGGTGGGAAAATATTAATACGTATTGGTTAGTGGTTCTCAGAAAATAAAAACAGATACTTCATGAGAAAAACACATTTGTGAAATTTCCACATTAGAAAATTGGTTCAAAATTGTATTTACATTTTCCTGTGACTGCCTTCTACATTTCCTGTAAATCAGTAAAAGCTTCACATTCTGCAGAACCGATGCACCGTCAGCATTAGTTCATGGTATATTCTTTACAGATAACATTATATAGAGTGAGTATAATGTATGGAAGTGGGGCACAGTGAAAACCAGACAACAATCTTCATTAAAATGGAGATTTTTTAGCAGTGCGGTGACGCCTCCTCCTCCTCGTCTGCTTTCTTACATAACTCGCAATCATCACTTTTTTTAAGAGTGCAGAAAGGAAAGATTCATTTTCATCTGTCACGGTCTTAATATCTGGCGCTGAACGCTCTGCGGAGCGACTTGGAGGTGCCGCTCGGTGACAAGAGGCGACTTGTTTCGGTTCAGTGTTTGTGGAATAAAAGCAACAGGAAGACAGACAGCCGCTCGGCACCCGAGGCCATAATTATCCTGTTTGTTTCAAGGCCGGCGTTTTGTTTTATTCAAATCTCCGCAGGGCTGACAAGGCTCGGGAAAGGCTCATTTTACTGTCATGTCAGGTTTGTCAGCACCAAGACGCAGCTTTGCATTAAATATCTTGAGTCTTTTGTTACAGTGCAGAATGAACTGCAGTGTTTTAACAGCCGCATTACAGCGATTCCTCGCCGTAAAGAGGAGTAACACTCAGACTCCTTTTGAGAGGATTACACGCCGACATTAAGTACCATTTTTACCTGTCGGTTATATGCAGCAGGTAGTTTAGTTGCAATCAGGGCCGTAGGCAGGACTTTAGAGATACGGAGGTTAAATCTCGAGAACATTTTGCACAATATAGTATAAATCTATGCTTTTTGATGCATTTTCAGTGTAAAAATGCCAACACATAGACACAGTCACAAATATGACCAATTTTTAAATTACTCTTCAGTTTCTTATTGTTGCTACATTTACAAAAAAATTCATGTTCAATATAGAGAAAGAAAAATGTGATAGAAAAAAATTATGAACTTGGAAAAAAGTTTGAACTTCAAAGTTTCCAAAAGAAGAAAAAATACCAACCTGTTACACAGATTCAAGGAAGCTGTATAAAATTGTTTAAAAGATAATCTTTAAATAATACTACAATACATAATATGCCCTTTAGAAAAAAGATACTGTAAATATAATTCTTATTTACAATAAAATCAAAAAAGTAGGAGGTATTTCTCATTAGTGATCGATGAACAAACACAAACGGTTTATTTTGACATTTTAAGAAATATATTGAAAAGATTAATGACACCCAGAAACACAGAGAACATGATCTCTATATTCTCAATTCTCAATGGTAGCCATGGGCCTGGTTGCAATAAGAAATATGAAAATGAGAGGTAACGCCAAAATGGATCAATAATCACAATTATCATTTTGGCCATCAAACACTCAATCTCGGAACCCAACCGCTATCGTCTGAAAATGATTTAGCTTCTGGGGGTAACGGCCAGTGTTTCAGTCGCAGATAATCGTTAAACATAATTCATTCATTAATGTTTTCAATCTCATATATAACCTTTAAGTGAATGTAGAACACATGAATGTACAGAGGTGATATTTGACATAATTAATGTCTCCAAAGTGTTTTAACACACAATATGTGAAACTGTAGTTTCGCACTTAAAATGGATAAGGATAGGACATATAATATGCTTTGGCTCATGTTTAGTGTATGTAAAGTGTGATCGATTGATTAAAATAGAAGTTCATTGTTGTAGAAAAGCCTTGAAATTGGTAGAGAGACAGGCGTTCCTGGATGGTCGTGTCGCCAAATGGCTGCTGCTTGAAATGAGTCTATAAATACTTTGTTCATGGATGAAATAACTGCAGAAGAAATAACTTTCCTCCTCCTGCCAGCACTGCTGACATGATTATTTCATGTAATGACTTTTCTTTGGAGATGATTTTCTGTGTAGCCTCGCTCTCTTCCTTCTCTTTCTCCTTCTCCTCGCTCACAACACCACGGTGAGACGATGATGACTCGGTTTCTCTCTGTTTTCTGTGTTTCGGGGCCTTTGATGCTCCAAATCACACAGCGTGGAAAGTAAAACGAGCAAAGAGAGTTCTGTGAAGTGGGCGATGCTGCTGCTGAATTCTAAGAAAGCTAAATCAGGGACGAAGGTGGCTTTAAACAAACACTGATAAAAATAAATCGTGGGACAATATTTCAGCACTTTACCTTCATTTCCTCCACTCAGACTGAGGATACGGTTCTCATTTTAACCATGCAGTCTGTTACTCTGACCCAAAACTTTTACTCTCCTTATTTACAGGTTTATGAGTCACTGCATGCACATTGCCAAAAGTATGTGGACAACACACATCATAAACCTTTGAAGATATAAATAACATCGGTTTCAAAATGAATATATATAGTATATAGTGTTTTTTATCCAGAAAAACCGCAGCCCCCAGTTTACTTGTTGGCATATGTTAACGTTGCTGCCATATTGGATTTGGCAAGACTGACCTTTAAACACAACAGGCGGAAGCAGCCAATATGGTGTATATGCCTATGGTTTAAGGTCCCTGTGTTAGTCCGTCTCTCAATACTTCTTGACTCTGTCTGTGGCCCTCAAATACAATGGTTCCTCCTGAAGACGTCAATCTTTAAAAATATGGTTTCATTTTTACAGCTGCTCGCTGTAGTTATTATTAACAAACAGGAAGAAATGATGCATGTTTTGTGGACTAGTTTCAGCCAGTGAATGAATCCACATTTGGTTCTGGTATTGTAGTGTTCACATATTTGGGGCAGCAGGACGTTGTATAAATGATAATGTACCTCATTGATGCGTTTTGAATAGTTTTTGGACGACAGTGGAGCCCCAGGGGAAGAAGATATGTCAGTCTTCGATACTTTCAGCATTGGTTTGAGATTTGCTGACGGTAAAAAAAGCGTACGAGACTCATCCTTTAAATACACTTCACTGTCCTGAGTGTCAGGACAACCAGAACAGGATGAACCTTTGTCCTCCTCAGCAGCAGCAGGGCAGCGAGTGTCCCGTCCCGAACACAGCAGGTTCTCCCCCAGACAGGTGATCCATCAGCTCCGGTAGGGCGGGGCTTGTCCTGCCTCTCGGTGCTCTGGAGAGCCAATCAGATAAGAGACGCAACCACCCTCCCACTCTCCCCCTCCTTGCAGAGAGAGCCAAAAAGCAGCTGTCCCGGTGCGGTGGGAGGGACAAGGGCAGCGAGGAAGCCCCGACGCTTTTAGAAACAGCGAGCGGCGAGGCAGCCCGATATAGCAGGCTGGAAAGGAGCTAGAGAGGAGAGGACGGTGAGAACAGAGCGGTCAGGACGCCAACGCCTGGATGATGACTGCAAGGACACAAAGGGAGGGAGGGAGGACGGCATGTTCCCAAGGACGAGCTGTGGCCCAGAGGAGGAAGAGCAGGTGGAGGAAGGGATCAGTTTGCTAAACTTACCTGCAGCAGGAGAGTTCTTCCTGCCGTGGGTGGAGCGTTACCTCAACTTCAACTGTTCCCTCTGACTTTAAGTTGCTGACATGATACATTTCATTTTGTAATGAGGTTCAGGAACAAAGACCACGCCTCAAACTCATCTGATTTCCGTGTCCCATAAAATGTCCTGGAAAAGAATGGAAACCCTGATAAATTGATTGCTACTGATGCAAAAGATGAAGATGTGAGAAACAAAGCATCCTCAGTTCATCCCAAATTGTATCCGATATATATTTATTCAGGGTAATCTCTTTGTGAATCTTACCATCCCCATTTTTAACGTATTGGTGGATCATCGAACAAATTGTAATGCAATAAAATAAATGAATAGACTGCTATAAACTTTCCAAATACAGTTCAATCCAGCATTTATTTAACCATCTTGAGAAAGTCCTAGAGGTGCTCCGTTTCCATGGCGACTGAGCAGCAAACTCAATTTGCTCATGAGGACCAACTGATACAATCGAAAGCTCCAGACAAAGCCAGTAGGCGGACCTTGAGCTGAGATTGCTTTGTCAAGTGCTGTTTTCCAGGGTCAACGTGGAGCCATCCAGACTCTAAAGAGCAACTGTGAAGAGAACCCTTTTTCAGAAGGTCAGGAATCCATGTGGCTGTAGGACCCAGACCTTCCACAGCTAAACTATCAAAAGGATTGCAAACTAATAAGGACCCAAAAACTGGATTATCTGGTTGAACTTCCTGTTTCTTGGCAAAACATTAATTTTGAACGCAAAGCCACAGGTGCAGTTAGTCGACACCTCAAGCTTTTGGTAACTTTTTTCAGTGAAGTCAATCTGATCAGTTCTCTAAGAGGAGTTTGTTAAAATAACACCTGAAAATGGCAAAAACTAGGCCAAAATAGGATATTAAATTCAATTTAACATCTTCCTATTTCATGCGATGCCCTTTGACAAAAAGATTTTGCCAACTTTCC